TTAAAAAAGTGCATTTTATTCTAATTAGGATTTTATTCTAAAAAAAAAAAAAATGCATTTTATTCCATTGACAGGAAACCAGCAGGATTATTGATTTCTTACCAAACTGAGGGTCCTGAGGGGCAGGTTCTCCAGGCCACTGATGGCCCTGAGGCTGTTGTGGGACAAACTCAGGTGGCTCAGGCTGTGACACTTCTCCAGGCCTTTGATTTCCTTAATATTATTATCTGAGGTTTATTTCAGGGACATAACACAAAAACCTTGCCAGGAAAAAAAAAAGTTATGCTGACCTGACCACCTGCATCATAATTTAATTTAACAACTCGACTTAAATGAAGGAAGAAAAGCTGAGTTACTGTCGAGGAGAAATGCCTGCAAAACGTGTCCCTGCTGCAGGAGGTGGGGTTTAATTTAGGATTATAAAAAAAAAAGCAGCTTGTTTTGTCTGCCAGGTCCTCAGGGAGGAGTGTTTGACACGGGTTAGTGTCACTTTGCTATTGGGAATTTGGCATTTTTTTAAATTCTGGGTTCATTTCCCTCCATTTCGGGGGGTTTTGGTGCAGCTGTGGACGAAAATGAACCTATTTTTTGTCCCCATTTCAGTAACATCTTCATTGCCAGGTGAAAGAATTGAAATAAAATTTAAAAAAAAAATATACAGATTCAGACCCACAATAAGAGACTTTGATCTTTTTTTTCTTTTCCCCTTCTCATTTTGCTGTGGGTTTTTTTGCCTCTGCAGAAGAAAACTAGAATTGCAGAGGCAGAGTGACTCAGTGCTCCTCTCTGACAAGAATCAGGTCACCTGAACACCTCATAAATGTGGGAATAATGTCACCTGGGCAGCCTGGGAATGTTTCATCTGCTCCTACGTGGAAAAGGGACTGTATTGGGATAATTTTGGAATGGGAAAGGAAAAAAGTGCAACAGCCCCGGGGTTGTTCCTTTCAGAGAGCAGAAAATGCAGTTCCTGAGGCAAAGAGGGAAAGTTCAGGAGCCCTCAGGAAAGGCTGTGAAAGTCCAGGAGAGTTCAGAAGAGTTTAGGGAGACTCTGGGAATTCCTGGAAAAGCAGCCATGAAAAAAACCTCAATTTCCAGCTTCCTGTTTATCTGGTTTCTGCCCCAGGAGTGTTTCTAATTCCACAAACTGGGATGAGCGTGGAGCAGAACCTTTGGGTGCTTCCCTCAAACTCCAGGAATTTGCCTCTCACTTAAAAATCCTTAAAATCACTTCAAAAATCACTTAAAAACCCATTTTCATTCCCATCAAATGTCCTGCCCAGTCCCTGCTTAATTAGTTCTGAGATTAAACAACACCCTCCAGTT